AGGACAAAAAAAGAACAAACAAACAATATGAAGATGGATGGCGGCCACGCATGCAGGAGTCTGATGAGACAGAAGCAGCGTGACGTACCCGGCGCGTCCGGTTTATCCACACACATGCATGCACCCAACGAGGAGGAGAGAGGGGAAGGAGGGAGGGAGGGAGGGAGTTCATCCCTGGCACGCAGTTGCTTTCGATAAGCACGAGGCTTAGGCGGTGGCCTCGACGCCCAGCATCCCCCGAACACAACGCACCCTCGTCATGACCGTATCGGACCGCAAAGATTGCATAGATCCATCACCATTGCGGGGCGTTGTGTTCGGGGGAAGCCGGTGGGTTTTTTTGTTGTTTCGGTGAGCTGAGCTGCAACTGTCTTCTCTCTCTGCACAGATTCATCATGACCGTATCGGACCGCAAAGATCGCACAGATTCATCCACGATGATTGATGGATGACCTGGCAATTTACTAGACGAATATGTCTCTCTCGGAACTACCTCTGGGGCGAGGTCCCACTAGCAAAGACGATTGGATTGAACGCCTGAATCTGGACTTGTTTGTGAAAACGTGCAGAAAATCGAGATGGAACTGCTGTTCTGCATATCCCTGTTAAAACACGTCCAGATTCAGTCCAGATTCAGGGTATATACATCCACTACGTGGGGGACCTCGGCCCTGGTGGACGGCGGTGAGAGTCTTTTTTTTTTTTTTTTTTTTTCACGGCGGTGAGAGTTACTCGGTGCTCTGCAGAGGTAAGTGTGAGGACTTACACAACCCACCCGTAGGTCTTTTTTTTTTCCCCCGCCCCCCCCATTACCCTCCAGGCGTGCATGACGCCTGGAGGGTAATTCAGGGTATATACAATCGTGCATGACGCCGGTCACACAGACAAACAGAGATTGTTCTTCGATACTCAAAGGGCCTGGCTCCACTACTATCCAAATGTGCAAAATGAGAATGAATCTTCCCCTAAAACATGGAAAGATACACCACCATATTTTTTGTATTTTGTGCATTGGGGAGAGCATTGGAGCGAGGCGCATACTTTCTACTGTAATAAGCGGACGAACGGCACTCGAGAAGGTCAGGCTACCGACTTCCCCCGACTAGAACGCACGGGGCCATTATCGCTGCATCTAGACTGAAAGCTGCCCCAAAACCAGCCAGAACGATCTATTACAGGGAAGATGGAAGGAAAGAGGACAGCTGGAACTTGCACGTGTACGTACCTGATCGTCCATTCACCACGTGCACGACTGCATAGCCGTTCGGAGACCACGTGGGAGTCATCGACCGGCAGCGGGCTTGGTGCAGAGCACTTCCCGCCGGACGTTCCGCTCGATGACGTGCAGTCGAAGATCCCATCTCCATCTCCATCGCCATCGTCATGTTCGACATCGTCTTCGCCTCCATAGCCGTCCGATGAAACATGTCCTTTCCGAGACGATCTACCACGCTTCTGCAGGAGAAGATACCACCTTCACCCCGGCACCCCGCCGATAATCTCGGGCCATACCCATCGACGACAGATCGAGATCGATGCCAAGAAGATCCGACGGTTGAAACGCGAGGCAGACAAGCCGAAGCAGAAACAGGCCGAGCATGAGCGGAACTGGGGGAAGAAGAACTAGAGGAGAAGGAGGAAGAAAAAAAGGAGGAGGAGGACGAGGAGGAGGAGGAGGAAGCTAGAGAAGCAAGGACTGGAAAAGGAGAAGGAACATCCATAAAACCGCTTCTTCCATTCGTCGCTCCCATCGATTGATGAATCGAGACAGCATGGGCTGTCATCTGGCACAGATTACAATGACGGATCCCCCAAGCCGCCATGGTGCTTGCCCGGCTAGCCGCCGCCATAGCCATAGCATCCAGCGCCATAGCCACCGCTCTCGAGAAGAAGATGGTTCGGTTTCTCTCCGCCGCACTTCGACTCTGGGGGGTAGAGTCTCCTCTTGCCTGGACTCGCCGCCGAGAGTGGACCGCAGATCACAAGCATCGATCACCACAGACAGCCAGGTGCGGGGAACCTTACTCCGGATCGTCTCTCTTAGAAATTGGACCTCAGTGGCGAGCCTGCAGACTCTGCCGCCAAGCCCCTCCACCACCTCGGCATCGATCTCGCTTCGGCGTACATCTCTCTCTCTCTCTCTCTCCTCTCTCTCTCTCTCTCTCTCTGTGTGTGTGTGTGTGTGTGTCTGTATCTATCTATCTCCGTCTGTGTGTGGCTGTGTCCTTGATTTCACCGATACATCCATCTATCCATCGGTCCTTTGATCAACTACGGGCATACTCATACTGGGCATTTCGTGGATGTATTTGACCGTATTTACGGCCGCATTCGGATGCATCTGACCGCATAACCCCCACACAAGGGCATGTCCTCGCTCGTCTGTGCGAGCAGGGAGAAAAAGGACGTCGATGGCTAATACTGCCTATCTTCGGAAATGCCCCTCGCAGAAAATGGGTGTTGCAGGGAGTGCCCCTCGCAGAAAATGTGTGTTTGTCGCAGGCAGTGCTCTCATCTCATGGAAACTGTGGGCTTTTCGCTCCACTACTCTCCACATGCACAACAGACAAAAAATATGGTGGTGTATCTTCCCATGTTCCAGCGGAAGATTAAGATTAATTCTTATTTTGCACATTTCGTGTTTGCACATTTCGTGAGTACTGGTTGTAGTGGCGCGAGGCCATCCCTGCAACTCGGCGCTCTTCGACCAGCCCTTCTACCGGTAGGGCTTTTTGGCCATAGTAACGCCACGCGTCTCTCCGGTCGAAAAGGAGGACCCCCGCTCCCAAAAACACGACCACAGCCAATGATATCATTGCCTTGGTGGTGACGTGTCCTGTCTGAAGAACGCCAAACCACATTCAGAGGACTGTCCCCCAAAAAAAGGGTAACCGCCGCGACCAATAAAAGATAGCTCAAGGCGTACGCACGCTACCTTGTAATACCGATCAGGGGTATCAAGCGCACTATGACCAACACGGGTGTGAGTCGGACCGTGAGTGCGTTGTGTGGGGTGTGTGGGGGAGTGTTGGCCATAGCCACTGCTGCTATAATCCCTGGGGAGCGGGGAAAGTACATGGGAGGCGCAGCTACTGGCAAAATGCCCCGTCTTTGCGTTAGCGGGCGCAGGTGGCTCCTGTGTGTTGCGGTGCTGTGTGGTTTTTCTTTGCGGCATCATATATGCTATATGGAGCGAATGATCAGAGCACCTTCGGTGCATCTGCCCTGAGATGCAGAGCTTCTACGTGAAGTACCTTTGTTTTTGTTCGCGGATTGTTCGGCGCCACTGTAATATGTCATCCTCAACGGTTTACATCCTTTTACTGTGGGTGCAAATGATTTTTGTTGTTCTTCCATGTGCGACGGTTGTCATCACAAGAAGACTCTTAAACCACAAGTACATGCCCCCAGCCTTGCAGAAAAGTAGACTTGTCACCACAAGAGAAATTCGAGGCTCGGGGAAGGCAGGGGAGTGCGTCCGGGAGAAAGAGGTGGGCCCAACAGAAAAAGGCAAATGGACTGTTGTTTTGCCCGCTGGTACACGTTCAGTCTGTGACAGTGAAAACACATGCACAAACGAGGCCCAACTATAGGGGGGGGGGGGGGGGGGGGGAACGGCAAGACCCCAGAAGGAGCCTGTTTTGAAACAGGAGAGTGGTACATAGCCTCAATCTGCAGAGGCATCATCTTGGGAGCTCTGTGGGAAATAAGAAATGCTAAAGTCTTCAAGAAGAGTACAATCTCCGTTCTGCAGACCTGCAATATGATTAAGCAAGAGATTCGTCTGGCAATTTTAGCAGATTGAAAAAGATTTAGGGTCTCGTTAGACACTCCTAAAAGAATCCTAAAATTTTTAGGACGAGTCCTAAAGGATTTTTAGGATTTTGTGCGGCATCGTTACACGCAATCCTAAAAATCATCTTTTAGGATTCGTCCTAAAAGGTCTCCCGCGGCCGGTTTTCATATGCGTATACGCAGCCGTGTCGCCAATGTTCATCCATTCCTGCCAATGTCCATCCAATCCCCGCCAACGGCTACCGTTCGTGGCCGTTGCCCGCGTCGACCCACAGAAAACCTCCGATGTCCGACCACTGACCTGACGGAATGCTTCTGCACCAGCAACTCCGTGTCGACGGTGCCATGCGCGCAACGCAACGAGTCCGTGAAACGCGGGAATCCTAAATTTTTCAGTAGGTCGGGGGCTATTGGAAAATTTAGGACGATTTTGCCTGGGGAATCCTAAATCCTTTAGGACTCGTCCTAACGCCGTTTTCACATTTTCGATCTCAAAATTGGATTTAGGATTGCGTGCAACCAAGACGCAATCCTAAAAACAGGCACTTTTAGGAATGTCTAACGAGACCCTTAGCTTTGTTAGATTCGGAAGGGTATGGGCGTTGAAGGGTTATTTTGCAGCAGTATCAGATGAGACAAATATGACGATAGCACAGTGGTTGAGGTAATCACTGTTTTAATCAAGGCCGAGGGTGCAGGAAAAACCCAGCCGCTTTAGGCTGTGAAACTACTCGATTTAAATAAGGACTTTCAGGATTGGTAGTTTGATGGAGACAAATTTGTCTTTTTCATGCGGTTCACGGTTTAACTATTTGGAGAGATTCAGTACTGTTTGTAGGGGACAGCGGACCCGGTTTCCAGCAGGATACATTGTGTAGGGATGGATAAGCAGGTTATATCAGGGTAATGCCCACAAGCTAAACTGGCTAAGGCTGCTAGGATAACTCCGGGTTGAATTATGAGGTCCCCCGCCTCGGCTTCTTTTGATGCAATACTAAGTCAATCTTTCCACAAAAAAAAAAAAAAAAAAATTTGAAACAAAAGGAACAGAGTGGCAAAACACCCGCCATATGGTGGGCATGCGCTATACGAGGGCAGAAAGCTCTCAAACTTTAGGAAAAAGGGCAGAAACGCCCGATGTAGGCAAGTATGCAGTGATTCACAGGTTATGTATCCGTGCCCATTATGTGTCTGCATACGGGCGCAAAAAAGTAAAGTGTTCTTGCCTCGTTGGCACTGAAAAAAAAAGAAAAAACGAAAAACAAAAAAAAGAACTTGTTTTTTTTTTAGTGCCTGCCCGAGGAGAACGGGCAGTGTTGTGGGAATCCAGGTGTGTATCTGGCTCACGAAGTGCACACTATGAATCTCGTGTGGACCATGTCGCAGCACAACTGTCAGAGGACAAACGAGGTGCCCTAAGATCTTGCAGACAATCTCGTGTCCTAAGGTCCTCTGCTTTATTTATTTATTTATTTATTTGGGAATCTCTGCGTTATTTTGATTTCAGTTGCCCGCTCTTTTTGCGAACAGGAAGTCATTCATGATGAGGCGCTTGCATTTGACATTCGATATGTGCTACATGCGGGTGCTCTCTCCTGTGGGTGTTTGGCAAAGTGTCAAGTAGTGAAAACGATGGTCTCCTTTTCATTTCACCGCCTGACAGCAGGTCCAGCACAGAGGTCAGTACCGGTACCACCCCAAATTTCCAAGAGTTGCTGCCCATGGCTTTCAAGCTCGACAAAATTTAAAATTTAGGCTCGTACATTTAGGGTCGGGTGTGTACTGGTGGTTTAACGACCCCGTGCGGCAGTTTAAAGTCATTTATGATTGGTAGTTTTTTTTGTCTTATGGAGAGTGTGACTAGCTTGCTGGTCGAAGTTCTACGTGTGGTTGTTCTATCAGGAGGTTCTTTATGATCCGTTGCAATGGTTTGTAGTCATTCACGATTTGTGGTTTTATTCGTCATGTGGGTTCGTTCTTCTCGAGGAGAGTTGTGTGTGTTTGTTGACTCCGCCAGTTTGAGTTATCCGTATAGATCTACGTTGTGTTCGCAGACCAGATTGTAGTTTTTGTCTTGGGTTTGAATTCTGTTTGTTTTCGCTTTCTCGTATTTTTGTGTTGCGGTTGGAAACTCGGTTAGGATTTTGCTTTTATTTGTTGTTTGTGAATTTGTCATTAAGAGTAATGTTTTTGCGCTTTCCTTTCCAGTTTCTTGTGCAGGTTTGGGTATTGGGATGGTTGTTTATCTCGCGGTTGCACTTTTAGGATTATTAGTTAATTTTAAGTTAAGACTTATTGTCATTTGTTTTTTCTGTTTGGGGCTTTTATGTTAGGGTTTGACGTGGAAGGTGAAGTGAGTGTTGGTGGTGAGGTTTTACTATTTTGTATGTGCACTGGAGCAATTGTGTGGAACATGTATTGAATAAACTAGGGTTACAAGTCTCTGTGTCATGGAGCTATTGTGCTAGACACATATTGGATAAATTGGGGTTAAGTTTTTTTTTTAAGTGGTAATTTTGGAATGATTGTTGTCACAACCAGGTTAACCGGCGTTCGGGACCCGAACGCCCGAACGTATGGGACCTGTCTCTTATACACATCTAGATGTGTATAAGAGACAATATATATGGGCCATATATACGGGTAAGGAGAAGCACTTATGAAAAGTGGAAGGAGCGCGAGGTTGGACAGTCCGGAATATACAGAGACAACTAAATTGCAAATTCAAAATGACACTACCTACCGTCTTCCCCCGAACATAATGGACCCTAAAAATGAATGTATACAAGCTATATTTCCGGCCAGATACAGCCAAAATAAGGGTGCGTTGTGTTGGGGGGGAAGACGGTACTACTGAATGGGAGAAGATGAGTGAAAACTAAAAAGTCAGATTACTTAACTTATCCTCACGAACTGAAATCCTTCAACACATGCAACGCTCCAACCAATGCTGGGTGGCGGGAGATCAAGGTGGGGNTGGGGATGCATTCGGTTGTTCGGGTCGAACGCGGACCCAAAAACAAAACAAAAAAAACAAAAAACAAAGTCATAAAAAACATCTGAAAAAGATATATTATGGAGAAAAATAAATTAAACAAGATTTGCCTAAGCATTACATCTGAATTCCTTACCAAATTTGAAATAAAAATAAAATACGAAAAACAAATACTAATAATAAAAATAAATAAAAATAAAAAGATAATTAAATTTACTGAGTGCGTGAGCATGTTTTCGACACTGCCATCTTTGGCGACTTTTCATTTTTTTTTTAAATAGCTAAATGCCCTGAAAATTTGTAGATGTGTACTTCACATAATACAAAACCCACTAAACAAGTTTCAAAAATAATCAAATTGTTTAGACCCCGAACTAAAGTGAAAACAAAAAGTAAAAAATGAAAAAATACGTAGGCGAACACGTTTTGACACCGCCATCTTTGGCGATTTTTAATTTTTATTTGGCTGAGCCAAATGACTTGAAAATTTACAGGCATGTACCTCACGTCATAAAAAACTGAAAAAAAAACATTCAGAAAAAAATAATTATTTTTAGGCCCCGAAATAATTTTTGGCGGGGGCCGAACGCCATCGGGTTCTAACCCCTACCCCGAACGCTCGTACGTACGGAGGTATGCCCGGGGACCTCCGTACGTACGGGCTGGTGACCTTGGTCACGACATAGATTAGGGTTATAAGTTTGCCTCGACAATCTTATAATTGTGAGTGTTGGTGGTAGGTTTTGATATTGTGTGCATTGTGGAACTATTGTGTACGACACGTAAAAGATAGACTAGCATTACGTACATGTACATTGTGAAGTTATTATATTGGATGTGTATTGGATAAATTAGGGTTATAATTTTGTTTCTTAAGGTAATTTTAGAATTTTTATTGTGACATCATGAATTAGGGTTATAGGTTTCAACAATCTTGGAATTGTTGTGGGAAGTTGGTTTTGTTGGTGGTTTTGGAATTACGAATGAGTAACACTTTATAATTTTTTTTATGTGTTTGTAGTTTTCTGATTTTCTACACAGGTGAGGCCCAACCTGAGAAGAAGATCCGAGGTCAGGTGACCTCTGTGATCGATTTACTTACTACCTCATCGATGTAAACCTTGGGCACT